CAATATCAGCTACATAATACATAAAGGATGGATGCAAATTTTATAGCAAGGAAATTAATAATTTATATCTGTTTACTGTAACAAAATTTTGGTGTCAGCTTTTTCTAAAGTTTAACAACGCTTGAGCCAAGATATCAATTATATATGAAAATATCACTGTTTAAAGTAAAAAATCCTCCTAAAACAATTATATTATTTAGTGTTCAAGAATGTTATACATTCTGTTATAACCCATGGCCTATTCTGTCTGTATTACAGTCTAATATTACTATAGCTCATATCACTCTTGTGTGTAGCAATATTAAATTTTAATTTCAACAATTAAAAAAAAGTTAATACTTTGCATATTACAAAGGTTTGCTAAAAAGTGAGAAAAAATATAACATGGTAATCATTTTCAAAACCAAATTTATTCTGCATAGCTCAATTGACTCAACAATGAAAATTTTGTTTAAAAAGTGTGCCTATAAAAGGCTTTGTCCCTGGGATAAGCTCTAAGTAGCTCACTATCTAGGTTGAAAACGGTTCTGCAGGATTGTATGTCCTATTTTTCCATGCCTGCAGTAAAGGCACAATATGGGAATTCAGCTTGGTAATTACTAATACACCACACAGACACAATTACACCCTGTATGCTGCATAAAGGAATCACTTGTGGTCTGCATCCATTACAAAGAGCAGTAGGGGGCCAGCACGCTAGACGACAAAACGCTTTACAAGGCGGAAGGAGACCAGAAGAGTCCATGTACACAGATACAAGGACCTTGATTCTTCTAGCAATGATTTAAGCCTCTTTTCATCAATTATCTTCCTTTGTCTCAAGAGTCTTATCACCAGCAGCATTACAGGAACTGCCTGTAACAATGCTCAGACCCACATAACCCCTTGAACTGTGCTGACTTTTCCATACCCTGTTGCTGTGTGTGACCTGATTATTGAGATTACTTAAGCAAAACAAAATGGGGAAAAAAAAGCATTATCATTGCACAAGCAGCCTAAATATGCACATATATATATATATATATATATATATATTTATATCTTAATTCTGAATTCCACTTTTTGTAACTGACAGCCATCCCTACTAGTGAAATGTATTTTTTTCAAAGTAGTTTCTACTCTGTTTTAAAAAATGGAAAGAAAAGATCTACTTGGGTAAAAATTGTAAGAAACACCAAATTTTGGTACAGCGAAGGGAGACCTTCTCAGCAAGAGCATTTCATATCTCAGGGAGCTAAACTATTGAGTCAGCTGCTCTCAACTAAAATGAGTCACAGAAATACTTTTCTTTCTGGAGAACTCTTCAAGTTTTGGGTTTAAATGTGAGCAATAAGTAAGATTTTTTATTGTAACAGTTTATTAATTATTAAATGATGTACATTATTTTACAACCTTTCCATTTTAAAATGCTCTTTAAAATGCATCTCACAATGACGAATTTTTCAGAGTTTTAGAAAGTTAGTTATTCATGGCAAGGTGTCAGGTCTTGTGAAACAAAGCCTTGACTTTCAGAATATGTTTACAGCCTAGGAGGGAGAAAAAAGTGTCGGCGGCTAAAATATTTATTGGCACCTAGAAGTCTGAGGCCAGAGTCAGGACTGTGGTTTTCGGAGGGCACTTTATCATTGCCTGCATTCTGAAAGGTTTCTCTGAATGAATAGGACTCGATTACTCAGCCTTCTAGTCCACGCCTATTCCTCTCCATTTTCCTTGGCACACTGAGAGCCAGGCTATTTTTAGCTATGCAGTTTTCTATTTTTAGACAACTGCCAGTTAGAAGACATTTGTTAGGGAAAAAAAATTTTTTTTAAAAACACACATAGCACAAAGGGAGGAGGGAAAGAAGCTTCTCTTCAAGTATTGTAAAAGCAGCCTTCAACCTGTAACTCCAGGCAGTTCAGCTGCTTTCAATCTTGGAAAAATAAAGAAAAATTCAGAGTTCAGGGTTTCAAAAATAAACCTACCCTCTGGCAAACAGACCAAAATACAACAAGCTGTTACTATGTGAAACAGCCACTACAGAAACAAAGAACATTCTCCAATGATTAAACTGCAAGAAAAGTTGAAGACCATTAGGTTATAAGAATGTTACACAGATATGTAACAATTTTCCAGCCTCTCCGCCAGATGTATCATGTTTTAGAATTTATACAGGGGAAAAAATTCCTCATCTCAAAAATTAAGCCAAGGATGTAGGATGCAGCTCTAAGGTGGAACCTTTTATCAAACTTAAGAGCAGTTATAGTCACTGCATTTTTCTAACATTTGTAGTCTATGGAATTTCTAGAAATTATAACCATCTGTTTACAGAGGAACTATATATTTAAAAGTGCAATGCCAATGGGTAACCAAAATAAAGCCTGTTATATGTACATATTCCCATGTAACTGTGTGTGTGCCTTCAATGCTCATATTATTATTCTTATTCTATGTCTGCGTTTCATGTCTGTAGGCTACTATCTATCCTAAAACTGATTCGTCCAACTTTTACTTGAAATGGGAATAAATGGCTACAGACTGGCTTAGTGTAACCACCTACGCTACTTATCATTCAAGGCCACGCCATCATCTAGAGTCACTAGGAGATGTTTCCAGTGCTAACAGTTGTAAGCACTTTCTTCCTGAGTTTGTGTATGTCTAGTTAGGGCTCAGTCCCTGGGTATCATGGCCATAGGACTGCAGTGGTTAGCACAAGGCTTGGTACATGATCCGCACATTCATCACTATCTGCCAACTGAAGAAACAAATACTGTGTATGTTTTATCCACCCTGGACTTTGGTTCAAGGGTCAGAGAACACTGTCATAATCCTTCTATTTCCCAGGACCCTGAGCATAATGCCTTGTGCTTGCATTTCATAAATGTTTGTGGAAGCGAGAAAAATTAATTCATCCCCCTGTTAGATCTCCTTAGTTTATATAAAATGCTACAGTTGTTTATAAAAATGCTGTATTTTCTAATGAGATGATACACTTACTATAAAACATGACATAATCACACACATTCTTGTGCGTGCTTCATTCTCTTTTGGTTAGCATTTTTTAAAATATACCTTGAACTTTTCCCTTGACTTTGAAAATAAAACTTTTATAACTTAACAGTTTACGATTGGCCCTGGTGTCTTTTATAAGCTGCAATCCCCATGGTATCTCTTTGGAAATTCGAGGTTGACAACACTAACCCTAGGGAGGAGCCTGAAGACGCGAGATGCTGTGCAATTTGCCCCAGGTGGGAGAAGGAGTGCGTGATACTACTGCTTTAATGAGAACTTAATTTCAAATCTGTCTTTCCTGTTTTTGTGGGCTCTGAAAATTCTATTTCCTAGAAGTAAATTGTAAAAAGAGGGAACGAATGCTTCAACAACACTCTTTAGAGAAATCACTGTGCAGCTCTTTTTCCCCACACGAGATTAATTCAGAAAAACCACAGTTCAGGAGAATCAGTCATGGAACTTGCATGCAGATAAAATTCCACACATACCTAACTCAGAAAAATCATGGGAAATGGTGAGCATGCGTGTTGGGTTTTTTACTCCCCTGCTGGAAGAGAGGGCAGTCGATGTGGCTTGTTTCTAATCCCTTACTCCTCATCTTTGCTACCTTCTCTGCTCTTTTCTTCCTGAGGACCATTCTGGGCTCAGTGCTGCCTTCATTCTCTCCCTCACGCTCTTACTTACTCCACAAAATCACACCCACCTTAAATATTCTGTTCCTCACAGCAAAGGCTGCCTGAATGACTCAGCTTTGCTGACCGGTTTCTTCACATGGGTTGCAGTAAACACCCGTGGCAGGAATGTCATGCAAGAGCCAGGTGCAGGCCTCTCCCGGTTATGAGCACTTTATTAGGTTGTGTCCTGCCGCCACCACACCAGCCTCACCATTTACTGCCTAACGTGAAGAAGCTTCTGTGATGAGGGGGAGCTCTACAGGAGAGCCAGGGAGTCCCAAGCTACCCTTGGAAGGGTGGCTAGTGACCCGAAGCAACTGAAGGCTCTGTGCAGACGGATTCCACTGCATCTGAAATGTGCTTCTATCCTCCAAGGAGAACTCGCATGACAGAAACAGCTCTGCTTATAATTGTCAAAACACCATTGCTAATCTCTTATTTATTGACAGATGTGTTCTATAAGACCAGGGGTGTTCTACAGTGGTAGAATAATTGCTTACCATGAACAAGGTCTTGGGTATAATCTCCTGCAATATATACAAAACAGAAGAAAAAAAGAGGCTAGTTTGGGCTTCTGAAATAAAAAATTATAGAGTGTAGAGTTGTTCTTAGATCCATAGCTCATGCTTAGGGCAACTCTAATTGCAGTTTCCTTTCTGTGTCACAGTTTTCTTGCAATCAAAGTGATGCCATTGTTTATGATTAAGGAGTAATTCACATGCTATTTTTTGGGGGGGTATCAGAAATCAAACTCAGGACCTTGCCAGGCAAGGGCTTAGGCCACTGAGCTATATCCCTGGCCCTTTTGCATGCTATTTTGAAAAATAAAGTAATTCAAAAATAGTGGAAGGGGGATTGCTATTACCAATTCATATATCTACTTTTTTTGTAAGAGTATTTTTCCCAGAAATGAGAATGAACCAAACACACATTGTACAGCTCACCGTTTATAGTGTTTCTTACTGAGAACAGTAGCTCTAAATAGTTACTGAGTTTATTTACTAAAACATAAAGATAAGAGATTTAATTGATATGAAGAGGCTTTCAGAATCTAATTAACCTCCCAGCTAGTCATTAACTTTATGACCTTTAGAAATAATTGACAGGATTTTTTCCTTATTCAGAACTTCTATCAAGTGGCTAAACTTCAGAGTAACACACTGTGTACTGAGCAAGGCAGAGACATAACTGGATAGTATGCCAAACAGCTATTGGCAAATGGTACGCATTTCCAATAATATACTCTACTCCATCTACTGTTGTATACAAATACACCATTCACCTCAGTGGTGTACGGTCTTTTGGATGATTGGATTTTATTGTGCTTTTCCAGAATGTTCTACGGATTTTTTGACCCGGAAGATAATAAGGAAGGTGCAGCTTCCAGCCCTCTCCACCCATAGCATACGCCCCCACCCAGTCACATCACTGCTTCCCAACCGGGTCTGCACTTGGACTCATCTTACTCAACCTGTGCCCCAGGCATCCACCTTCCAGGGATGGGTACAGACAAAGGAGGGGACCAGGCCACCATGACTGAAAGGTGAGTCTCTCACATAAAACTTCCAGAGGACCTGACTCACCTGCTGTCAAGAATTATATTCCCTGAACATCAGTTTTAAGAGTCTGTTTTATGGTAGGAGTCCAACCCTCAGTAAAACTACAAAGAAGAAATGGTCTACAGATGGACTTTCAAACTCTTGCTGGAGGAAGTAAATGTTTAGAAAGGGGAAAACAGAGTCTTGTTCCATGAAGTTTCATTTACGAGTTAGTAAAATCACTTGGCAAATTGAGATTTTGGCAGGGTAGAGGCATTTTGACCCATGGATCCATCTTGGCAAATCCTAATTTAGTACCAGCAGGTTCCATGTCTTGTCCAAGATTCAAAGTACACTGGTCTGGAAAATCTTTACTTCCTGCCCACACCACAGCAGTATTTCTCCTTGGCTTCCTGTGCCTTTTAACGTATTCCCCCCACTCCTGAGAGTCTAACAACACTTATTCTTTTATGGTTCACTTGAAAGAGTCTCACATCTATTACTGCAATGTATCTGACTTCAATAAAAACACATTAATTCTAAATTTTAGAATTATATTTATGCTATAATGGTCATCACCTAATTGATGTTTACTAAATGTGTACAATGTGCCACTGTCCCATCCTTAAGAGAAGGAAAACAAATTTGTCTTTTTAGAAAAAGCAAACAACCAGCAAAGGTTGAAAAGCCCAACAACCAGCGAAGAAGTGAAGAAATTGTGTAACATAATGAGAAGATCATTATCTTTAATTCTGAATCTGGGTAGGGCTGAGAATTATTGCTAAAACTCCACTTCTTCAGTCTCACTATATATTCAACGACAAATCCTGGGAAGTCCAAATGTTCTACCCCTTGATATTTGATTCGATAACTTTTCAAGCCAAAGTTACTTTTACTTGAGTGATCTCAATGGCTACTCTGCAGCCCTGGATTCAATATGCTACTACAGGTTCCATAAACTCTGAAATCTACAGTGTCATAAAAATCTGGCAATTCCTATGCAGGTTAAATATTTGCCCCTTTTCACTTCCAGGTTTGGGGTGCACTTGAGAACTCTGGTTTGCTCTAGTTCTAGAAAGTTCATGCAAAGTATAATAATGAAAAATTGTAATGAATAAGGCTGATAAAGAAGTTAGTACTGACAAAAAGCTGTATTTTAAAACCTATTGTCCTTACTTCTCCTATTATTATTAAATAATTCTCTGTTAACCATGTGTTAGCAACAATGTCTATAAGCCATTAAAGCTGTATAACAACCAGGATAAGAGGAAATTCAGTTTTATTGCCTTGTGCAAATCCCTGAAATGATCTAGCATTGTATTATTATGTGTCCAACAATAGTTATTTTCTTGACAAATGAGTTGTGAGGGAGCTTTTGATGTTTACCAAACATACACAAATTAAGAGCGTGATTTTAGAAAAGAACTGTCTCTTCAAATTTAATTTATAAAATTGTGATAGGGTTATGGGAAATATCAATACATTTGAACAATTTCAGTCTCATTGCTCTTTGAGACACTGTGGTAAATAAACACAATTACAAGTTATAGGTTGCTAGTGGCAGTCTTTTAAAGATATATTAAAAATGAAATTTATGCAAAGACTTTGAAAACCAAATCAATTTCTTACTCTTATTTTCCCAAGCCTCAACTGCTGAAGGTTTAGATCCTTCCATGCTATGCTATTACTTTGCTAATTTTTCAAACTATTTGTTGCAAAGCAATTATATTTCTTGTTAACAGAACACAGACAAGAGGACAGGGTGGGTATACTGAGCCATTAAAAATACAAACTGTTTCAATTATGCTTTATGGTAGATCTAAGAAGATTTTTAATGCACCTTAAGAGGATATTGTTTTTTCTAAATCCTTTCATATGAAAAAGCCTCTCTGAAAATATTAGTTTACTAATTACACAAATACTGGCCTAATGTTGCTTCAAGTAAATTTAAAATAGTAACAAGAAAGAGCTATCATCTTTCCTTTCCCAAGCGTTGAGTTGAAAGAATATATATAGCAACACGCATAACCTCACTCACATGATTAGAGCACCCTGTGGCCTAGACACGTCGCACATGCTTCCTAGCCAGAGAGCAAGTTTGCTGATTGACTCTGTGGTCACTGGGTTACCAGTGAGACGTGCTTTGAGTTTCATAGTAAGGGTTCAGTTGAAAGTTGGTGTCTCTCAAAGTGAACATGGGTAGTTTAGATCCTAAAACCAGATGACTACACAATCCCTCACTCCTGAAATGTGCTCTTCAAATTTTACATTGTGGAATAAAATCCAAATTAATTGAAGAATTAATGCTTGGTGTTAATTTGAGAGCACAAGTGGTTGAAATGTTTGTCTCTTCACATTTCAACCCAGTCTGCACGGTCTCATGAAACTTTCATGAAGATCAATAGGTTCTTATCTTCCCTGTTCACACACAGCTTGCAAACGTATGAAATGTAGTCATGTTAACTGAGGGACTGAACTGGATATTTTACTTCATTTTGATTCACTTAAGTTTCATGGCCACTTTGCATGTCCATTGGTTATTATATCAGAGAGCACAAATCTAGATTATTTGAGTATTTTTCAGATAGTGCTTTGATAAACTAGCGAGTTTTAATGAACTCACTGAAACCAAGAAAATATTTTTTCTATACTTTTTATGTGACTGTCACTTGGTTGTGTGTCTGTGTTTCCCTGCTTATTCTGTTAAACATATCCTGAGGACCTACTACTCTCTGGGCCTTACAATGAGCACTGTGGGTGTGAGGTTCAGGAAATGCACACAGTCTACAAAGTTTAGTGGGGAACCGGAAATTGAATAATAATTTTCATAGTGACCTGATGGGGATAATAGAATGCATTATGACTGTATTTCCCCTCATACTGGGGATATAGTGCAAAGATTATTTCTTGAAGGTATTTCCTGGGCCTCAACTTGAATGAAAGGTAACCAAATGCAAGCAAAAAACAAAACTCAGAAAAGCAAACAAACACAAACAAAAAGCAATAATTGAAGACAAAATGAATAAAGTGTGGGGAGGCTGGAGGACATAAATATGTTAAGTGGGCCTCAGAGACAAGGTGGGGGAGATCAAGTGGAGCCAAGTCACACATGGCCTTGTAAGGCGCCCTGAGGACAAGAGTCCTTGGGACGCCTTGGTTCTGTTTGTATCGCCAGGCATTCTGTGGCACGCAGGACACGACAGGAATGCAACGGATCTTTGGTGAATGATTGAAAGAGTGGAAATCACAAATGACCAAACAGGTAAGCAAATATGCCTTTCTGTTTTCTCTTAAGAAAGCATCTGAGTGTAATGTACATTTATACAGCACACATTGGAATAATTTTATGTATGTATATATATATATATATTTATCACTGTAGCATTGGAACCTGTTTAATTGCTCCAATGAATGCTTGGGTAAAGTGTTTGTTCTCATCACTTTGCACACATTTCCAAATTCAGTAACACTGAATTTGTACAGAAGTCCAGTTCCTCAATGTGCTGTTTTCACTTTTCAGCAGAGAGTGAGCTCGCCAATTTTCATCAGGTCACGTACAGGACCATCAGGGTGCTGCTGACCTACAGCAGCATAGTGAAGCCATAGAGGCTGCAAGCTATGCTAAGACCTTTAAGGTCCCACATTAGTTTTTAACTATTACTGTGCAAGGGAACATTTTGTCCTTGATGTCTCTAAACCCAAGCAGGAATGAGAAGGCAGAAAGTAAAGTTGCAGACATTGTGAACATATTGCTATATGAATATGATGTTTTAAATAATATCATTCTCTGTTACACACACACACACACACACACACACACACTGCTATCTTATTCTTGTATCTGAAAATAAAAGTCAATGATCCTCTGCTGAGACAGATGGGACTCAAAGGTTCTTTTGCAGGTGTAGCATTCGTTTTCATGCTGGTGTTTTCCTCCTCCTCCACATACAATCCCTGGACTCCTGGCCCAGACTGACCGAGCACTCCCGCACAGTAGCTGAGTCATGGAGGCAGTGAAAGGTGCCCAGGTGCCCAGGAGCTAAGTGATATTCCCCTGAGGGTGACTTGCCTGGAAAACATGGGGTGGGTATGGAGACAACCTGTCTAGGACTTCTGTCCTTCAAGGGATCACCTGGAGGACTCCAGCGGAACACATGACCTGCTGAAGTCCTGCTGAATTGTTTAACCTCTGCCTTCATGCCAGTGGCTTGTACTGCACTAATTAAGCTCCTGCTCCTTTGCCCTCCAAGTGTTTGTTCCAAGCTCATTTCTGGATTCATGTCCTACCTGCCTAACACCAGTGCTTGTCTTCTGCTCTTTCAGAATCCCCCGCACGGTGCCGAGGGTGAGCTGGTGCATGCCAACTCATTGCTCTGCGAAGCCCTGGGCTGCCACTGAGTCCTGCGGGAGCAGCGTTCTTTGCAAAGTGCTCCACAGCTCCAACCCCTTCCAGGAGCACAGCCTGGCAGAAACCACCAGGGTCTCTTCTCTCAGACTGTGGGAGCTGCCCAGTTGGAAGCTGTAGGGGGCAGGCAGCTCTTCCTCATCATCACATTACCTGAAATTCAGAATCTCCACCGAATTTCAGCAGCCTCACCAGCTAGTGTTCTAGGTAAATAGAGTGCACAAGTTACAGAGTCAAGTGAAATGGACTTTCTTCAAAGGAAGTATGCTTAGCGCAGTAATTTCTTATTTTTTAATCTATGGGCTAAAATTTGAACACATTTACGAAATCTGGCATATTTATATATTGTACAGATATTCTAGCTGCTAAAAACTTATCTCAGTCTTTTAAGGCTTTGTGAGTATGTAAGCCATTGTAACAGTAGTGTTAATTATCAAGCAAAGACATGATAATTACGCAGAGCTTTTTTGCTAAAAGGAGGAATCTTATTCAACACCCACACACTGTACAATTTCCTTTGGCCCTATAACATTACTCTGGTATGGCCCAGAGATGTGTATTTTAGTCTAAATGTTGGAAATTTTGTTATTTTCCTCTCCTTCCAACCTTTCTTAGTTGTGAGTAAACTGTTTTTAGAAGGTTAAGGGAGAGAGGTAATGGTCCAAATGGGAAATATAAAACTAATGACCCTTCATGAAACATATTATGTTCCTCATTAAACTTACTCAGTTAAATGTATTCCATTAAGTTAAAATAAATAGGATTGAAAATTTCGCCCAGGAGTAGTAAACTATCTTAACTTTCAACTTTATGTTGGGTCCATTCTAAGAACGCATCTCTCCATTTGTCCCTGCTGTAGCCTAGAGGTGCTCCGGTCCCTCCGCAATTCACACCTTGGTGCTGCAGAAGCTTCAAATGCAGTGCAGCTGGGAGCCACTTGGAGAACTTACTATACACGATGGTTTCTGCCTAAATGCCCTTCTTCATCACCCAGAATCTCAAACATCCTGATTTCAGTGCTCTGCACTTTGGAAAACACTCAGTGTGAGGGTGAAGTGACATTTTACCTAGCTTAGAGACACCACCTTCTTTCCCCATCATCTCTACTTCGGCTGCTGAAAGGTGGCAATGTCAGATACGAGCAGACAACGTGCGATTCAGGTCGCTGAGCGGAATGGGCTCACCACGCTGCAGAGTTACATGTTCTGTTCACCCCTCCAAATATTAAGGCATCCAACTTCTAGATCTGGCCAACGAACCTCAGAATGTTGTTTTGAGACATTCAGAGCTCTAATTCACTCATCTTAAATGGCACAAAACAGAGCTCCTGCTTCTCTCTCTTTGTGAAAGTACGGTTTTAAAAATTATATGATAAATATATCATTGCGAAGGATTTTCAAGTTCTGTTCCTTTCTTTTCACCCTTGCTTCCTCTCCCATCCCTTCTTTGCCTTCTTTCCCCTCTCCCCTCAGCCCCCACTCTGTTGGGGAACGAGTCCAGAGTCTCGTGCATGCTAAGCAGTAGCACACCCACTGAGCGACAATCTTTAACTTCCTTCAGTTTTGAGATTCAAAAACTTCAGCCTGGAGAGGCATCTAATTTGTTCTCTAGTAAGGCACATCAAGACAATATCCAAATGCAAGACCTCTGGCTCTTTAACCATCTTTAACCATCAAGCCTTTAAAGAAACCTGATTCTCAGAGAGCCACCTGTCCAAGAACAGGAAAGTCTCATACGAGCTAGGCCTGATTTCTCCATGCTTCTGATATCAGCATTCTGGGAGGCTGAGGGAGAAGCATCACAGTGTGAACCCAGCACAGGCAACTTTGAGAGACTCTGTCTCCAAACAGAAAAAATGAAAAGGGCTGGGGAAGTAGCTTAGAGTGACGGCCCTGGGTTCAATCCCCAGTACCAAAAAAAGCAAAAACAAAAACCTCATGCAGCATGTGCAATTTGAAGTCATCTTTAAGCCATATGGCATCCCTCAGAAAAACCCTGAGAAGATGAATTTTCTGGGTTTTAAGCTCCTTTAGGAAAACAAATTTTAAAAGTCAACACATTTTCCAATTGGTTCAGTATGGTTCTCCTGCATTTCACATCCTGTTGAGTTCATGTCTAATGACAAGTTCCAACTAGATTTGTTTGTTACCCTGAAATTTTTGTTGTTTTCATGAAAAGATTTTATGTAAAGAGTTTTGAGTATAAAATCACTGTGATTTGGGAACACGTTGAAAACGTGAGTATACACACACACTCCTACACACATAGAAGCACCTATCAAGGTTGACAACCAACTAGTTCTATTCCCTTTCAAGTTTTTGCATTTTCGCATTTATACATGTGTGTGCAAATAAAAGATCTCTAAATGCAGCCAAACTTAATGAACAGTCTTAAATTGTAAGGTAAAGGTGAGCACACAATTCAGATCAGTAGTTAGTAAAAAACTAATGTAATACGACGCAGCATCTTAAGCATATACCACAGTAGGCAACTTATTTACATTTGTTTCACTGTATCACTATGATTAGCCCTGTTAGGCAAATAAATGAATGAATCTGTTCCACACTTTTGAAAAACTTGCAAATAAAAGCAAACAAAAGAAATTAGCATTGGACAATTATAACATAAAAGAGAGATGACAGTGGGAGGTATATTACTTTCACCAGCAGTAGTATGAGATTCTTTTATAAGACGGAAACTGTCTAAACAACAGCAAGAATGACTTGTGCTCTGGAAAACTGACTTCATGGACAGACTACTGAGATATTTATTTTCTTTCGTTCTAGGAAAGTAGGCACAAGTCAGGAAATCAGAAGTAGGCAAATGGGTAAGGGACATAGTCAGGTGGAAATCTCCCTCATCACACCTCTCAGTCCTGGCTCAATGACCAGGAAGGCAACTGACGGGGACTACAGAGCGGTAGCACTTAACTACAACTCACTCGCCAAGCGTTTAGGGAATCTCAACCCAAACTGGATGGCACATTACTCAGGCTAATGAGGGAAAACACTCTTGTGTTTTAACATGGTGCTTATTTTTGTCACCACCACACAATGTTTTAAATCTGACTTGGATGCAAGATTGAGCTAACATTTAGAAATTCATTTTTAGCCATTTTCTGATTTCATGTTACAGATTTCAGTGCTATAGGAAATGATGTAGTTTTTAGGAGAAAAAAAAAAAAAACATTTCAGGAAAGTAGTCCTGTGTGTTTCCAGCAAGAATACACATGAAAAAATGAATTAGAAAGAAGACACATAAAGAGAAACATCGGAAGAGGGCAGTTGGAGTGAGTTCACTTTTAAATATACTTAGACTGCTGGGAAACTATTCTACAACATAGCCCTCTAAGATGGGGATGAGACGGTCCTAGCTACCCTTCCCAGCTCTGGGGTCCTGATACAGGCACAATGCTGCGTACTGATCACTCACAAAAGGTGAACAATTCATTTGACCCTGGGTCTGATTGCTAGCAAGCACTGGACCTTACCCTGTCTCTCTCACTGCACGACTTGGATTCTGAGGTGGGAGGGAAGGATGGAGTGATGGCTGGGGTGACTGACACTGGGTTTCCCTGGGGACATGAGCCTCTTAGGAAAGAGAAGGCATGCACATGTGTGCTGAGGGAGGACCACACACCCCAAGGCTCTGGCAAAGCCTAGGGCTCCCCGCGCTCATCCTCACCTCCACGATGTCTGAGTTTGTCCGACTCTCATGTGGCTCGTTGTACTCCGTGTACTTGAGCAGTACCTTGTCCATGTCGGTGCTGGCGTACTGGAACAGCTTGTTGGTGCTGTTGAAGATGATCAGGGCGATCTCACAGTCACACAGCACACTCAGCTCGTAAGCCTTCTTCATCAGCCCAAATTTCCTCTTCGTGAATGTCACCTAGGAAAAAGAAAACACAAGAGTGTTTTTCTTTTCTTTTTTAGTTTTTAAGAAAAAGCATTTATGCATGTGTATGTTTTCACAGTACTTTTTTTCTTTTGCAAAGCAACGGTTGTGTGGTTGTCAGAGCTTTGGGCATTAACACATTTAAGGAGAAAGTAAAATTATTTTCTGCTTAGAATTTGAAAATGTAAGATTCCCAGCTTGTTGCAGAACTCGAAACTGTAAGTGTAAGATTTAACATAGGGCATTTTAATGAAGGTGAGCACAGAATTGTTTGCTTTGTTGAATAACTTGAGTTAAGAAAATTAATTCCAGCTTGGTTAACATCTTTTCAAATTGTGAGTTCGGAGTTCTTTTTTGATCACTTGAAGACTGGACATGGCTTCATGAACTGAGCATTTTCCCATCATTGTTTAAAATAAAAATCTTTAAAACTCTTTAGCTTTGTGCCACTTATTTGAAGTCACTTGAAGACTTAGGACTGCATTCTCAAAATTGTAGTCTGTTTGTCAGAAATCCAATAGACACTGGGAGTACTTTAGCCAGAGTGCTGTTAAGATTTTTGGTTTCATTCTTCTGTGTAACTTTCTTTCTCTATCAAACCAGAAATTGTGCTATCTTTGACTTTTCTTTCTCTTAATCGAATCTATTACCAAATCCTTTCATTCCTTCCCTGAAAACGTTTCTCAAGTTTGACTTGGCTATTTCCCAGGTGCCTCAGCCACCCCTGGCCAGCCGCTTCCGGTCTTAGGTGGTCTCCCGGCCTGGAGCTACTTCCCCCTCCACTCGCCTCAGTCTGCTAACCCTAGCTCAGCGCTCCATTCCTTGGTTTGCTTTCTTCCCATCTGCTAAATCCTGCCTTCCCAGCCTTCCAATCCTACCTAATGCAAGCAAGTGTATTTCACCTTCCTCATTTCAGTATCCGTTCAGTCAGCTGTTGGTCAGTCACTCCAGTGTGCCCACTAAAAGGCATGAACATCCTGAATGGTTAGCCCAGCTAGGGTCCAGAGTTTCCCAGCAGGATAGGGTGTGGAACAGGTGTGCCCAATCCCCAGTCCAAGGGCTGCAGGAGCCCTTCGGACAGCTAGGAACGCAGCCCCACGTAACTGCAAGCTTTTAACATTACCATGAAATTTTTACGACCTGATTGTGTGTGCTCCATGCTGGATTCTGTGGCCACAACAGAATGCTGTGTAGCAGAAGGTGCAGGGCAGTGCTAATCTATGACTGCTGTGCCCACTGCACACATAGGGATTACAATGGTGTTTCAAACCACTTACATGCATGGGGCCTGTGAAGATAGGCGCTTATGATTATTAAAGAAATATGCAAGTTTCCTTACTTAATTATTAAATGGGCCTGTATTGTTTTGTAAAGTAATGCACCAAGTTAAAATGTAAAGCTTTGTTACTTACATGCACTAACTGCATTGCAAATTTAATATGTGGCCCCACACAACTCTTCAATGCTCCATCTTTCTCTTTCTTTTCTTTCTTGCTTGCTTTCTTGGTTGTTTGCTCCCCCCCCCCACCTTCCTTCTGCTCTTTTCTTTCCTCCCTCCCTCTCCTTCCTCTTTCTTTCTTTCACAGTACCGGGGAATTGAATCCAGGGCCTGTATACTGAGCTACACTCCCAGTCTTTTTTATTTTTTATTTTGTTAAATTTCCCAGACTGGACTCAAACTTGCCCCCCACTTCTGACTGCCGAGTACTGGGATCTCAGGAGAGGGCCTCTATGCCAGGCTGGTCGGGAATCTTTTGGACTTTGTTTAATCTGCTTCCCAACCCTACCGCTTACGGAGTCATTCATTTCTTCGCTCACTTTCCTTTACTTTGAGGAGTACTTCCTATGATTCTTTATAACTCGGATTTTGAGGCACATTCTCTGGTAAATGCTGACTAGTTTAATTTACCTATTGCTTTCAGTAGGGATGAGTTAATTTTTCCCTTAATTTTCACATCCAGTGCACTTACAGGGGCCAGCTCAGGTTCTTTGCTACCATTTCTTTGTAACTTCAAAATCTAGCTCTCCCCTCTTGCCTCCTCTGTCTCTAGATGCCCAATGGGTGTTCTCCAGTCTGCAGCTCCTGAAATGTCGAGGGACTACAGAAACCTCCAAGTGCTACCTCTCCCTTCTCCCCTGGATCCCACAATTCAGTTTACCATCGGCTCAGTTGTCCGAACCAGAAACCTCAGAGTGAGCTCAGTATTATGCTCCTCTGTGCTTCTGGTCCCAACACCTAAAATCGGTATGTTTATCGTCTGTGGATGAGCAGGCAAAGATCTGACCTCCTATCTCTGCATTTCTCCACGTTTCTATATTATTGTACCTTTTATTTTTTCCTTAAGAGCCATCACCACATTTTATAGTTGATACATTTTCTGTGTAATGATCTATTAAATGTGTTTAGTAATTTACTTACAAAATTTTTAAAAAGATCAGTGTGTGTTTTGCTTAATATTGATTACAGAATTTTGATCACATTTGGATTGAAGGTTGAATGGCAGACTGGAAAGAATATGGGATTGGACTCAGGAAACCCTGCATTGGAATGTTGCATTTACAATTAGATAAACTCAAGAAATTCACGTAACTTCTCAGCATTCGATTTATGCTATGTAAAATGGAGATAAAATCTACTATGTGAGGGCTGCACAAAATAATATATGCACAGTATGGCATACAGTGATTAGGGTAAATGCTTCATAAATCTTAGTTCCTGCCCGTTTCTTAGTTGGTTTAACAGGAAAAGGAGAACTAACAAAATATATGTCTTTACTGCTGAGGACGTGGCTATTCCTGATGAAGACACGAAGTTAAACTATCCTTGCTGGGCATCTTTTGTAAAATGGAGCATTTAGGTATCAACTAAGCATTTCAGCTCATCAGTATATGCTCAGATGTGTTATTTATATTTTGACTTGAGAAACTTTTCTGTGGAGTAATGAGCCATATCTGACTTTCTATTTCATTGTTTTTCTAATGTACTTGGGATAAAATAAAGCTACCATTTTATTTTTATACCTGGTTATCATACACTTTAGTAACTTTTACTCTGGTCTATTCACACAAGTTACAGTTAATACTACAGATGGGTTAGAGACTGGCTTGTTGAAATGCATAAAGAAATATAATCGCCAATTACACAATACCATGTTTTAGTATTTCTTTCAAGAAAATTTAGAAATAAAACTATACTGGCATTTTACTTAGTGAAATAGGCTGCAAGACATGCTTAGTACAGAAGGCAATGACCAAAATACTTTCATATATCTAAAACCACTTTTAATCAGACTTCATGACCACAAACCGTAGGTGGAATGTCTCAATACACTATGGTTTCTGTTGTAGTGAAACCTCAGAATTTAGCACGTTGCAACACTCACCATCAAAGTATATTTCAGTACAGAAATAGCACTAAAACCACTATTTGTGTTTACTCTTAGAGTCCCCTCAACTTTTGTGTAACCAAATAGGCTGTGGATAATGTACACGTACTTAATAATACCTGTCCAAAAAAAAAAAAAAAAAAAAACCTCAGTGCATATAGCTTTTTTTTTTTCATTAAAACTGCAAACTGAAATGATGACTACATTAAAGCACCAAAGAAAATATCTTCCAAAAATCTCTTCTTAATTGCTCTAAATTTAATACTGTATTATGTTCATATTCATCATGGCATACTCAAATGTATTTTATAATGCTTTTTCTCATTGTTCAGTGCTGGATAAAATTGTTTTTAAGCATTAAGCTTTCTAAAGAGATCTGGGATATTACTCTTCATTTTAAATATGCCACTCAATGGCAAAGATTGAGATTCAGAGCTTTTATACTTAAATATAATAATGTATTGTAATGATTACATTTTCAAAACTTGACAATAATTTTTAATGGGCACGAGTCTATATTTCTATTATGATAGCATACTTTGAACTTTAGGTGAGGCAGAAAGCTGTTTGTATGGTAGCTAAGCAAAGAGATTCTCTTTCCCAGTGTTTACATCAATCACGATACATCAAGAGAAAGAATAAATCCAATATTATTTCAGTGGACACTGTAATTCAGCATCTGGTTTTCAGAACTAAAAGATTTAATAAGCACATATGCATGAAAAATCAAACTACAATGTAAAGGTTGACCATTTTATGCTATTTTCTTTGCCTGCTGAATTTTAAAACAGCCTCAAATGCAATCATCACATTGTATAGGGATGTTTCTAAAAGAAGTTTCACAGTAACTATGAATTTTATATTTTAACATAAGGGCAGGCGTCACACGTTTTATATTGACAGTGGCTTTAAGATCTATTAGGCATGCACCAGAAATCGGAGCTTGAAGTTAAGAAAAAGTACAGTCATTAAACATAGCATTATCTAGTCCAACTCTAAAGAAGTTAGATCTATCCCATATACCGAAACATGCTTTGGCCAGTTTTTATCAAGCATATTGTGCATGTTTACCATGTATATTGCCTATATCAGAGACTGTCATTGGGTACTGTGGCTTCCATGACATAAAGTAATATCTCTCGTTTTTGCCAATTCTTTTTGGCTGGAGAAAAAATTCATTTAGTTTCTTAATACCTAAAAAAGGAATTTGCTTTATTTGGATCAAAATGCCTTCTTTGGGCAATAGAGTTATATTTTCAATCTGGGCTTTAGAGTTATATTTTCAATCATGTCTAATGATTTTTTTTTTTTTTTGTCTTTTTCCTTTTTATCGGTACCAGGGATCGAACTCACGACTCCCTGCTTGCAAGGCAGGTGCTTATGCTGCTGAGCTAAATCCCCAGCCCCCATGTCTAATGATTTAAAATTGTATTTTTATTTGGATTTGGGTGAGTTCAGTTTTTGTTTTCAGATCAACTTTTTCTCTAGATTGAGCAAGAAAAATAATATGCAGCGGGTGCGAACTCAAACAAGATGAACACGAAATGAAATCTTCCTTCTTGGTGACTTCTTACCCTATATCTAGTGAAAGCTAGTCGTGGTGGGGTG